ATGTTATCAGATCCGCGGCCTGATCCCAGTACGGCGATCGGTCTTCAACATCCACAAGATTTAAGAGGATAAAACCTAGAAGCTTCAGTTCACAGCTCCAATTCGACAGTTCTTCTTGAAACTGCAAATTGGCCGTGTAAGATGGTCCTTCATATGGGACTTGCATGTCCAAGTGCACCACACTTAAGAGATGACAGATCAAGATTCCTAAAGTCAATAATGGATGAACTTTCAGGGCGCATAGTATAATGAAAGCTTTGAAAGCTTTGAACATTGGGCCAAATAGATCAATGAAGATCAACTGTATGCAAAATCAGTACGCGAGACTCAATGCCTTGTAACTACCTGCGGGAGTAACAGCAGGATGGAACGCTTTACTCACTTTTTCGTGTTCCACCGGCCTTGACTTGGCTGGCAGCCCACTAGACTGAACTGATGTAGCCTCAGAACTCTGAGGTTGCGGTATTCTATCGAATTGCTTTGTTTGTCTCCATTTTCTCGGGCCTGGCTGCATACCAAATCACTCAATCCATAAAAGACTTTCATCGTTTGGCCATATTTCATAAGCGAAGTCTGCAGCTCCTTGTACTGTTGGATGCACCATCATTATACGGCATGGCAAATTTTGCCCAGAAACCGTTTTGATTATTGGCTCTTCAATCACTTGAAAATATGACAAGCCAGTTGGGTGAAACCTTCCAGGTGGTGGAGGGGACAACAGCGTGACTGTTTGGTCCTGAGCTATGCGCCACGCGAAGATTGCTGAAGCCCCATGAATGTATTTACTCCATTTGCGGGCGGACAACTCCGTCCTGCGGCATTCCGTGCATTCCTTTCTCATCATAGGCCCCATTGCAGTGGTCAGGGTTTGTATATTGTGATCTTTGGCCCATTGTAAGGCCACATTGTAAGGCACGCCGCTCCACAGCACTTGTCCATTAGTGACCCAGTCGTCAGACAAAAACTGTTGAATTATCGGAACTGCTTTTTCCGGAGTCAAATACTGGCTGATAATTTCGACGAGGGTGTCTTGCGTAGAGTTCGGGCAGCGGAGTCGCTGGATGAGACTTTCCTGGGCGTCCATCAAGTCTGGTTTGCAGATTTTATTCAAGAGGTCTTTAAAAAGTGAGAATTCCATCTATCTTGCTGCTGTGCACGGAACACGAACTCATCATAAATGCAACCAAATCCGTGACATCACGCACAGTAATTCAAAACGTCATGCTCAAGTGGCAAAGACAAGGAGTCGTCGGTATTGGTTCTAATCAGAATCGCATTGGCGTGATCGGAGTTGACTATGTCAGCCCCCATTCATAATTTTTCAAATCTCCGCTTATGACGTATTCTAATACAGTATCGTCCACTCCAAGCTGGCTTGTGTTGTCTAAAGCATCAAATGTGAAGCACGCACACTAGAGATTGGTCTCATGTTGTGGTTTTGTTTTCCACTTACGCGAGACGAAATATTTTTCGTATCTTGAGATAACTGAAGCCGCGGATTCTTTGATGAGGTATATCCTATGATCTTTGTTTAGTTGGACTTTCGACGAGATTGGTCGACAATAAAAGCAAAGATAAGGAGTATCTGGGACTAAAAACTAGGCCGGCGCTGTGTTGACCATGCTCAGTGGACTCCATGCGCCCAATACGGTCTCCCATTGTTGACAATGCAGAAAGGTCTGCTGGTGCTGAAATTGATATTTAGTCCATTTTTGTGCAGCAGTGCAAAGTAAATCTGAACGGCCTTTAAAACCCATGGGTCGGCTTGGGGGCAATTGAAAATCGCCTCGCCAAGGCACAGTAATCAAATTGCCGGTGCCATTCTCCGTGATCTTTGTTTGGCTCAAATCTAAATCCGTGTCAGGCATCTGTAAAGGTCCTTCGTGCTTCCATAGCATTCCTGGCAATATGCCCCATTTTTCGTTCCAAATGCCTCTTTTGACCCAGGTACGTTTCACGTTATTATAAGCGTTGGTGTTGATATCCAGAGGGGCAGAAAGAAGAACAGTATCATCTGGAGAGCCACTTTGAAGTTGTTCTCGCTCCTTTGATATTTGGTAGATGAGCTGATGGAATGGGCGTGATGCCTCGTTTCTGTGCTTCTGTCTTGCTCGTCGCTCAACGTGCTGTTGTATTATGCTGCCGTTATACGGTTGACTGGACCATGACTCTGCTTTTTCCAGGGGAGAAAACACATTGAGCTTGAGTGCTGTGCTAGTGTCTGTCTCGGGCGAGATTGTGCATATTTGTGCCGTCGGGAACGGCAAACTTTCGATTTTCGATTCCTTCAATTATGCACGCTTCTAGCTCGTCGACCTGGGCGTCAAATTGCCGATCGGATCGTGAAGCTTGATGATCCTTCTTGATGATCCTTCTCCAGTTGCCATTGCCAACGATCACCGCGTTGCTCCATCTCGGAAGTGCCGCAAGGGCTTTGAGATCGTATTGAATTGTACGACTGACAAGACGTGTGCGACGGTGCGCGTCTGTCGAAACGCAACGGTTTTACCATCTCAAAGGCAAACCAGAATCCATTCTCCAGGCCCTCGACAACTGATGATGAGATACACAAAGGTTGCCACACTTGGGTCGGGACAATTCGGAGTTGTATATAAGGCCATCGATATCGACACGGGCAGGTTTCTCGCTGTTAAGATATTACAAAAACCTCACCGAGCATCAAAAGAGGCTGAGTGGAGGCAGTTATTGTATTATGCGCTGAAACGCGAAGTGGAGACTTTATCGCACATATGCCACGTTAGTCATCATTCCAAGCCGTCCAGGGCTCGTACTCTGAACTGACGCTGTCCTAGCTGCACATTATCGATTATATCACATCCCAAGGCTGGGACGGACCATCTGTAGAGTGTTAAAAGAGATACGATGCAAGTAGGAATGATGACGGGTACGACCGTAAAATATAGATAATCTAACAATAGATTACCGAGGTGTTTAAGTCTGGAGATTTTCATTTGTGTCAGAATCTCCTTACATACCAGAAAACTCTGCCTTCAGCTAGTCCTAATTAGATTTCCCAGGCGATGAATCACTGCGGTTGCCGTCATGGCTCATTCATGGCATAAACCATGGCCGGCTACCATAAATCTCAACATAGAGATATTCATGGGACTCAAGGATGGCACCCTTAGATCGTTGGTTCTCAAAGGTCGGATTCCGTCCCTCACCAGCCTTGCCCACTACGTCTTCCACCAGATGCTCACGCATTGGATTATCTCGCCGCGGAAGGCATTGTTCATCGAGATGTGAAGCCCGAAAACATTCTTTATTCTTCGCTGCCAAGTGCGCAATTTCAGTTTCAGCTCGGCGATTTCGGTCTGTGCAACAGCACTGTCAGTGCCGTAACTTCTGTTGGGAGTCCATTGTACATGGCCCCCGAGGCGTTTCAGAATCAGGTCCAGACACACAAGATGGATGCCTGGTCCCTTTTTGTAACCATGGCATGGACACTGGACATCGATGGGTTTCGTGAAAGCTCAGAGCAGTTCAAGTGTCTCCAACACGCCCATCAGGCCATCTTGGTCGCAGCATCAAAAGATTGACTTTATTCAAGAAATGGCGAGAGTCAATCCGGACGAGCGCGCCTCCGCGGTACAGATGCTGGTCAAGTGCTTTGATGGAATAGGCCTAACAACTCACCGGAGTCGAGTTCCGCCGATAACTCCAATAAGGCCCTCAACTAGGACCAATGCCGAGACATACACGGGATCCACGGCTCAGGTCACTCACCGACCAATTCAAGGGATACAAAGGCCTCGAAAGCAAGGGATCCGTTCCGTATCCGCAAGTCTAGTAATCCACGGGCTTGAAGGTTGAGACAAGATATTATAGCGGCTACTCCTCAACCAAATATTCTTTCCACAAAGAGGCTTAGAGTTCCCTGCAAGGCTGAATCCTCTGAGCTTGTACAGGGGTTTCGTCTGCGGTCGCAAACTCAAGACTAGAATATGCGACGGTTTCGGGGTAGAGTTTTTCAACAGATGAACCCAGTTGTCAATTTAATTAATCGTTATAAATGTTATTTTCGTTTCCAGTTGCGCGTTTTCACGCACAACTCCTAGCTCCGGGACACCAGCACTGCGGTCAACGCCACCTTTTACCAGCACGTCTCCATTTCGACTGGCCACGGTTCCCCGGAACAAAGTCAATTTGAAATTTTCACCCGGTACCCTACCACTATCTAAAGTATAAGTAGACGCGTCTAGCTAAGACCACGTTCTAGGATCGGTATTTCCGTACTAAGCGAATCATAAAACGGACATCCATCGCGCTCGAATGAGCTCCACACCTTCTGCTGGAACGAATCGCACATGCTAATCGAGCGCTTTGGCTGGTGCAGATTGATGTCTAACGTGTGGCCCACTTTTCTGCCATAGTTGAGGAAACCCTAACTTGGAGTCAACCAGACTCCAGCACCCCGTGGAACAGGGTGGGCCGGAGACCATAGGCTCGTAGGACGGACCGGGCCGTCGAATGTGGATACAGTACGAGTTGATACTACGATGAAATAAACGCCGGCATACGACGAACTGCGTTGAACTTTAAATGGTATCCTCGACCCAGTCGGTGGCCTACTGATCTTCCTGGCGCTAAGATTTCTTGATAGTCTGGACGCTCCCACATGTACCCCTAGACGGGAACGCCCATCGTGGTGGTATGGCACACCCCCATGGCATAGATGTCAAGTTCTAGGGTGGCCTGCTCGCTTAGGAGTACGTTCGGCACTTGCCTTTCTAGCGGACTTATAAAGAACTCAAGTGTACAACGACAATCCTAGGAGATATAATACCAAATTTAAATAGAAATGCGTCTAGCCTTAGTGCCCTCAGTGCGCCGCTGGCCTGGGCTTGACTTGCTATCAAGTAGGGACTGGGCAGAATCACTCAAGCAGCGCGTGAGCTCTGCGAATCTTTCTGTCGCAGACTTCTCAACCTTGATTCCCTGACCCTCGATATCATCCATGCACCGTAGCGCTTGTTCTTCTATTTCCTTCGTACAGCCTTGGCCGTAATGCCTAGGTCAACCTTACAGTCGTCGACCTGTTCCTCTAAGTCGGCTTCGTGCGTTCTGTATCGTCCCTCGATCGCTTCATCACACTCATTTAAAGCATTTTCGACAATATCACCGACAACTTGTGATTTGAGGTGCTCAATCGTCTCAACGACATATTGTTTGAGGCTGTGCTTGAGGCGGCGCTCAAGCATCTCGACACTGGCAACTCCGACTGTCTCAGACTCGGCTGGCAGATCACTGTCTACATATTTTTTTTTGGCCAGCAGATGTCGCCGTCCCGATCGAATTAATACTTGGCATAACTCCTCATCGGAAACTCCACGGAGCTCCTCTTCAAGGCGCTCAAGTCTCTTACGCTTTGTGCGGCCAGGAGAGGAGGCAAGTAAGCCCTAAGCCCTTCGAATGTCAGAATTCCCAGACAGAGCACCCACAATTCATACGGATTCCTGCATAGTAATTAGTAAACAGAGGAGGTCTGAGACAAAGGCAGCTGCGAATTCGTGAAATCAGCTCAATCTAAAAATACTGATTGGTCGTTGATTACGGACGTATGTGATATAGATGTTCAGCTCTTCTTCGTGGTACACGCCCCCACTTTCTAGGCTGCCAACAACCGCAGCGCTAACCCAAAACTATTTTGATGGTTCCGTGCGGAACCATCAAAATATCACCTTAGCTCGTCCAAAGTATGTTTATGGTCATAAAAACAAGTACCGATTAGCACACGGAGAGAGAGGCAAAAGATGGCTGACGGGAGAGGAAAGCTAGCAGGCGATCTGGCAACGCCACCAGATCTACGACACAATTCCGGATAATTTCATGTAATATTACGGCTCTGTATCGACGACTCACTAGGGCAACACAATCATTACGATGACATCTCTGTCAGAGTTGTGAAGCGGTGAGTAAGAGCGGCCTAGCGTTATTCGGAATATTATTATTATTATTAGTATTATTATTCTCCAGGATCAAGTAGGAAGCGTATAGAGGTATAATCTCGAAACCTACTGTAGTGTTGAGACCTTACTTGACTTGCTTCGTGGTCTCGAGAATCGAAGCTTGACTCATGTGAGTTTCATCAATCTCCCGTGTTTTCTCTCCTCCTTGCTTCTCCCTGATTCCTCCTACCATCCATCTCACATGCCTCACTCACTCTCGATTTTCATTTTCTTGATACAATTAAGTACAATTAAGCCCAGAATAATATTAGATGTCGCATTCTTCATGGAGAACTACCAGTAAATTGAGAAAATCGGCGCAGGTACGGGCTTTTGACGCGGTTCTTGGTTTTGTTGATACGGTCCTGGCGAAACTCAGCTCACGCGTCTCTTGTCGCTCTGAAGAAAGTCAGACTGGAGGCCGTCGATGAGGGTGTTCCTAGCACGAGTCCCCCACCTAGTCGTCCAGAAATCTGTTCTATTATTACCCCTATTTTAGAGGCTTTTGATATGAAATGCCAACTAATCTCGGGTGGTCGGGGCATCAATATATCCGGTCTCAATCCAGTATTCGCACGGGATGCCTGACATCCATGTTGTAGAAAAGGGAGCTTTCATCAGATAGAGGTTTTGGATGATCTACAAGAACGTCACAGAAGTTGATCACCTATCAAGATTCATGACATGGTATCAAATTACCTACAGTAGGCATTTCCCCGCCTAAACTTACTACCTGACCTCTTTGCTGGGTTCTTCTATGCTCTCTCCATTCGGTATCGACCTGTCTGTTCCATCAGACTGCCATCGCGCCGTTCTCATTTCAATAGAAAGTTTCGGTTTAGTCTCAGCTCTCAACTTGGAAATGTCGCCTATCCGACATGGATGTTAACCACCTGAGAATTCACTCGCTCAGACGAGCTCACCTCACAACATGAACAACTTACTCATAGAAAATGCTCAGTCGGACCAAATTGGGGCCTGGTCCTGTGCCAGTTTTTCTGCAGATCGACCGTACCATCTTTCAATTTTCGTCGGACCCGATAGTCCAGTCTGGACGGACAATCCTTGCAGTAAAAAAATTCTTTGATGGACTTGACGTTCGAATTCTCTTCGAACTCCGCATACATGGTATTCATCATGTGTTCGACATCCTCAGCGTAATAAAAAATCTCGGCTTTACGAAGCCGAGATAGACCACTCATTGTCGGCCGCAGGGCACAAGGGTAACTACCAATAACTCCGAGCGTCGGGGTCACCATGGATTCAATAATCCAAAGGAACTTATAGCGATATGGGGCATCACCGGCCTCACTCGATGGGACCTGCTCTCCAGTAACAAGAACGCTTGTGATAGGTAATCCCATACCGTTGAGCTCAAAAGCATTGCGGACAATCACCTCGTCCTCCCTCTCAAACTGCTGAACCTTGGGCACCCAATATTCCAGAACTGCCTTCATGTTCTTGGGGATAGGATGTCGCTTATGACAGTGGCGTCGATCAAAGCGGATTGTGGATTCTGCCTTGTAATTGCGGAGGGTTTCTCTCGCTAACTTACTGAAGTAGGAAGAAATCCTACGAGTACTTATTTCTATAGAAGGGAGGTGCGCTAATCTGCCAGCACCACACATGCTCCTTGCATGTATTTACGTGTTACCACACAATCCATGCTCTACCTGCATCACCCGCTCAATTGAGGAGGTCTCCAGTCTCTCCAAGAGTCAGCTTGAGACTGCAAAATCTAGACCTCGGCAAGGACTGGGGCCGGAATATCCGGTTTTTGGTCTTTTTTCGATATAGTTAGGACCGCACCACGGTCCCCAATGGTCCTTTGCGGTCCCCCCTCGCAATGACAAAAGTACTCCAAATTAGCTAAGTGTGCACATATTGACACGCCATGTATCTGTAATCCGTCATAATGGGGAAAAAGTATAGGCATGTAGCGGCTGTCGTATTCGTACTGGTTGCCATGCTGAGGGTAATCTGCATTAGCTCGGCTGTGAGACTTTCACTTATCCATGGCTGAGTGGTAGTGAGTAGGCGCCCGATAACAGAAAAAGAGGGTGCGGGCGGAGTTCCTGAGAAGGGGGTAGACTAGAATGGGCTCGGTTGATGTTACACAGACCATAAAGGGGTTCAGAAAATCTTACCTTTTGGCAGACAAACAAAGGTGTGTTGGAGAAGAAAGCCGATTTGACCAGGCTTGTGCATGAGTTCTGCCAACACGTATCAGATTCGAAGGATAACAGTAGTCATGAGGCACTGATGACGCGTAAATGCGCTTCGCCAGGGTCACCATGGCAGATAGAAAGTTTGTTTTCCTTTTTGCTCATGATCGCTTTCTGCCCCGCAGTGGCAGCCGTGAGTAAATGGTGAGACTGATTCCGACCCATGCTGATCGTTTCAACGGGAGGTCAGGGTAAGTGAATCACACACACACACACAAAGATTAAGATGAAACGTCCCTTGATGGACACATAGCCTGTTCGAACTTATGACAGCAATACGACGGCATGGCTAATAATTTAGGACTGGGTCTCTATACGTCTGGTTTGTCAGAGTGTAGACAAGAAACCGTTGAATGTACGTTACTCGGAAAGTGAGGGGTATGCGAGTCGTGGCACAAAGTGATTGATTGCCTCGCAAGCCTGGTCTGCGGTGTATCTCATTAGACCTAACCCCGCAACTTTCGAGACTAATAGAAAATATTCACCAGCAACTATACTAACGACAGTGAAATGGCTGCGACTACTTTATTCTCATGTGCGGACCCGGGTTGTGACAAAGATAGCAAATACTCGTGCAGTAACTGCAAGCTAGTCTCGGTAAGTTTGGAGACTAACATTGTAATTAACTAACATGTATAACAGTACTGTGATAAACGCTGCCAGGTAGCGCACTGGCCAGAGCACAAAATAATCTGCAAGTCGAGTTTGATGAAGGATAATTGGAGCCCATGCTGGGAAAGAGAAAAACGGACGCCATCATTTTCAAGCCCAAAACTTGCAAGTAACCTTCATAATCCATTTGGTAAAGGAATATATCTGTGGGGCAACGTCCCGGCAATTGATGTTCTCAATTTGGACCAGAATGAAGGGAATAACCTCTCTCGTGACGTTTACGCTACTTTTTGCTGGTATGTTTGCCTTCTTCGTCCCAACAAAGGGAATTGCGGCTCACAATATAAAGCATCTGGTGATCTGCGCAACGTGGTCAAAACCGTCTCCGAGCTTCCTCAGCTCTTCGCACAACGAATCGATTTGACTATTAACGACCGGGATTTTCACGTCGTTGCTAGGAACGCGATAATACTCCTGTTTTGCCTAACAGCGCTGGAGATTACTTCAATACCCCCTGGCGGTTTTGCCAATGCTGAATCTTTAATTCACCTCTGGTACTCTGCCTCCTTACCAAAGAATATTACTACTCAGTTAGTATCGCGTGTAAAACCGTTCTTTACTGAGGTTTGTGGACAAATAACTGCTGAAGCCACTGGGGAGATTGTGGAGAGGACCTGGAACTTTTCTCGTAAGAAAAGCCTGCGACTTGTTCTTAGAAAAGAGGAATGGTACCGACTGGAGGCGCTCTGCGAAGTTCCTTCCGATCTAACACAGCAGAAAGCTTTGCATATCCGGACGGCCACAACACTGGCTCCGGAGAGGCGAGACTTTCGAGATCGATGGTACTTCAAAGATACCACACCATCCGTACGTTTGTCGAAACAGAAGTTTCGTGAAGATGGACTTCTTCTTCCATTTGGATATGATAGGGCCGATTTCAGCAGCCCAAATCCGTAAGTATCAGGACCACCACTTTACGAAAAACCGGCTTACACTCGTGGTAATGTGCTAGTACATTCTATTTTCCTCCATTTGTCTGGCCAATGGATGACAAAGCCGACCCTTTAGATGGGTGGCCGATACGAGAAGTTGCCCGAGAGCAGACTATGGCGAAGGAGGACCTATACGGCAAACTTTATATTTACCTTCGGCGTGTTTTCCGAAGATTCTTAGATCGTCTTGCAAGGATAGAGATCAACCTTGAACTGCTTAATACGGACGCGATCCAGCTTCCTGAAACCCTTCAGGAGAACAAATATGCTAGAATCGAGGTACGTAATCCCGAACATGTGGGCAGGTAGCTGACAATATTTAGGTATCGAATATCACTGATGCCGGTTATCTGGGTACACGAGAAACCTTGCGCCTATTGTCCCCTTTGCTACAATCTCCACAGGAAAATCCTCATGCCACCATAATTTCGGCGTACCTGAATGCGGTCATGGAGATGGTCAAACAAGGCGACGACAGAGACCAAACGCCAAATTTGAATTTACTAATGGAATTTCTACCTGGTATTGACATCTTCTCCTTGCTACGACCGGAGAGTGCCCAGAGTCTAAAACTATGGGATGCGAGAACAATTGTAATTGACCGACACAAGTTTTTTGAGAGGTTAGTCATGATTTGGGTGCCCCCCACGATATCAGCTGACTTTTGGCCAGGTACATCAGGATGTTTCGATTTGATCGAATATCTGCCGATCTGCAGGTCGCAATGAAGGATCTCCACACGGTTGTTGAGACATGGCCCACAAAGCCAATACTAGAACGGGGACAGCAAGGGTCTCAAGACGAATTTAACATCCTTCTGGGCTCGAACTATACGTGCGTTGAACGATTCGTGGAATGGAGACGGATGGAATAGGAGTTTCTTTTCTTTGCCATATGTATTTCGAAAACCACGGCAATTGGCTTAGGAAGGGGGAAAAATAGGGTTTGAACATCACTTAATTAAAATCACGTTCAACTTATTAGCTGACTTAATATGCCTATACTCCGTTGGCTCTGCACCCGACTAACCTACTTTTTTTTCGCAAACAATTGCTCTGTTACATATCAGATATGAATTTACCTCAAATAAACGAATGAGAGCTCCTTTAAGCTGGTCCTCTCCATTCATTCATTCATCGCAGCCATACTGAATGCGAACAAGCCGCCTTTTCCCTCGGAGATTCAGTCATGGCAACGGCCTTCAGTGCCCGCGCATCATTGCCGGCACCATTTGGACTGTATTTAATTCAGATTGTGTATTAAGTAATTAAAAAAGCGATTTTCCGCGGGCTCGCCAGATCCTATAAACTATTGAACTAACTCTATTCCGTGACGTTTCGACCCCAAGAAACGTTTTTAGGTCCTGTGGTTGGCCGAGGGGGTAGTGTTCTAGTTCATGTTACTATCAAAAGTGGGAAACCCATCTATTTAAATGTACATCGCTAGTCTCGCCACACAAGCTTTGGCCACCGTGATATTCAACAGTATTACCGAAATGCGCTTAGTGGTCGATTTCACAATGCTATCACTTCAACAGCAACGCTGGACTATGAGATTCCGTTGCCTCAATTGAACATAGATTCATCAAATTAGGCTGGTATGATAGAAACATCTTCTTTCTGATGGAATAGTGTGTTCTTATGAGTCAATAGTACAGCGTGTTGACTAGAGGTAGCTGCGCGAACAACCGTCAACTGGAATAGAAGATCGACTGCGGGAAACCCAGTTCCTGAACCCATTGATATTGGAAAGCAAACCCATCATGTATCGCCAGTCATGATAAAAGATAAGAACAAACCCCCATAATCGCCTTGAAATTCAACTCATATGAGAGATGAAGAAATCACGAGCGCTCACCACGGAGACGGCGGGCCAGCTGGATGTCCTTGGACTGGATGGTGACACGCTTGGCGTGGATGGCGCAGAGGTTGGTGTCCTCGAACAGGGAGACGAGGTAGGCCTCAACGGACTCCGGGAGAGCACCGATGGCGGAGGACTGGAAGCGGAGGTCGGACTTGAAGTCCTGGGCGATCTCACGGACCAGACGCTGGACGGGGATCATTTCTCGCTCCGGTGCCACAAGGGTCTAGATATTGATGCGTCCACCCTGCCCACACAGAATTTATGCCGGAGGCTGTCCATAGAGCAGCTGTCACTCTTGGGGATGCCCATGGCCCGGACCTATCGTTGGTCAGCCGTGGTCCAATCATCCATGGATATTGATCACGGACTATGGGGAATGGGACGGCATCAATAATAATCAGTCGGCCTCGTGTGTCTTGACACAATTGACTAGATCTCCATCATCTAGATTCTGCACTAAAGAGAGGATATATATATATACATAGACGGACTCCACGAAAGCATGCATACGAGCAGCAGAGCGGTTCCAACTGTCCGGCATCACTGTACGTTTGGAGGGCTAGAGGATCACCTCCATCGTGAGGTTGGCAAAAAGATCATCGACGCGGCCCGCCCACAACAAAAGACAGAAACCGTGCCTGCCTTGCGGTTGATCCGTACTTTCGCACCCCAAGAGGAAGTAGAGTAGAAATCACTTCCTCCATCAGCAGCGGCAATTGCCGCACTAGGGACAACGTAGTCCTCGATAAGTCAAAGTCCGCACGCGATGACAACCGACAGCAGGGAGTCATCCAGGCGCCTCGTTTAGATGACGAGCGGCGTCGAAGAGGATGTAGGGAACACCCGACAATCATCGTCACTGGGAGCGAGGAAAGAGAGTTGCGGAGATGCGCGGTCTGGCATCGGATCACCACTGCCCCAAGGCGACTGGCCCATGGGCGAAGGAGCTTGCCACGTGGAGACCTCTTCACCCATGGCCGGGAGAGGCGTCCGTGGGGGTGGATAGACGCCATTGCGTGGTGTCTGACGACGTTTTCTCGGCCGCCGGACACGACGAGGTCGAGCACTTCCCTGGTGTCCACATGGGTCGCAATGGAAGAAGCTCGTCGGGCATTTCCTACGCCAGTGCTGGCGGAGGGCATTGGCAACCTCATAAGCATTCCAGTCGTTGCGCTTCAAGCTGGCGGTCGTCGGCACTTGCTCTTGCAGGCACTGGATGATCCGCGATTGGTCCATACCATCCGGGTGGTAGTGTTCTTCATAATGCGATGGGGCGAAGGCAGGAAGGTACACAAGAGCACCCCAGCCTCCAAGCCCGTTGGCGAGACTCACGTACCGGCGCCCAGCCTTGGGCCATTTCACAAGGTTGACGGACAGCATATGCTGCACTCCGGGAGAGATCAGCTTCGCCTGGATCAAGAGATGGACGATATGATCCGCATTGCTGGTACCCGTGATCCGTTCGTCAACGAACTCGACGAGGAAACACAGGAGCAATCGCCAGCGAACGACATCGACCTTGGTTTGGGTTGCTAGATGGTTCAGTAGGCGACAGACCGAGTCCAACATGCAAGGCGTGGCATGGTCCGGGTCGACGATGGGCGTGGGTGCAAAGAAGGTGTCGGGCTCAATGGCCCAATACCAGATGACCGCCTCCGCCTCTGGGCCGAGCTCGTTGGGCGTCCAGTCCTTGCACAGCCTTTCATAAAGGCGGTTATGGCCCTTACGGTCGCGTTTGAAAGGGAACCGCAAGGTACGCAAAAGCGCGGTTTCCCACAGGCGTTCACATTTGTCCACCTCGGCCGCAAACTGTCCGGGCGGTCAGTAGCGCATCTCAAGGCCACGGAAAGGGGGCAGGGTCGCTCGCACATCAGGACCAGCCGCTTACCTCGTTATCGTAAGTCAGCTCGTGAAGCTCGTCAGGGGGTTGGTTTCGGATCCTGGCGACCATGCCAAGGATGCCGTCACAAAGGTCGTCGGCAGTCATGTTATTGGTAGTCAGGACGGAAGCGATGAAGCGAGCGAGAGGTCCGCTGAGCGTGGAGCGGAGCGAGGCGAAATTTATATCATGGCAGGCGCGTTGGTCGCGTCGACCGTGACTCGGCGACACGTCTCGATAAGGCGATGTTTGTGGACGGTGCGCGGGCGCGAGAGACGAGAACCTCCACGAGGGGTCCTCGTCGTTGTGAGGGATCGAAATCACAATCCAGCGTCATCGGGGTACTCGATTGAGCATGATCGTGCAGAGGATGAGCCGAGTGAGGGCGTGGGTGTTACGAGGACTTCCTGGGGGGGTGGTTCGGGGGGATCCGCTACCGGATGCAAGACGTGACATCAGCTTGATCTTGTGGTACATTCCAGATGCCAATCCACGAGGACAGCAGGCTGATTACGAACCAGAGGCAGTGTCAGGTCCGGCTTCCACGGTCGCAGCGGATATTCCAAGCTTGGACGTACAAGGTGCTGCTCGCACTGATTGAGATCCGTGGTCAATGATAGATGAACTACGCACATGCAGATGCAGCAATGCAGGAAATGCCAAAAACCGGGGCATATCTGGTCACACCGTTCTAACGCTTTCAAATGCCGCCACTGCGCCGGCGGACACCCGACTGGGAGTGTTCGTCGACAAAGGGGCAGGGGATCAAGGCGCCAATTACGAGGGGGACCATTGTCCGACGGTGCACGGTGAAGGAAGATAGGAAAGAATGATGCACTATTTGTAGGCCAGCCACGCAGACGAATGAACAATCCAACAATCAGAGATCCGTGGCCTCCCTCTGAGTCGACTCCTTCAGCTCCCTGTCACTAGCGAGCTGGACACCCATCTAAACTATCAATATTAGACGCATTTATCTCAATCAAAACGTCATCAAATCAAACAGCTGGACTCGAGGTCCATCCGGACCGGCATCTCGGTAGGGCCCTCGTACGCGGCTGAGAAGGTACCGGAGTAGGCCCTATCTCCCAGGGAATTGGTGCCGGTGCTCATGATACTCGACACCGATATCTTTTTCAAAAGCTGTCTCAGCGGTACGAGGAGCACGTGGCCGAGACCATCATCCGAGAGGAGACGAAGAAGTTTACCCCTACCTCCCAAATCCGCTGCTTTGCTCACTTCTTGAACATGATTATGAAATCTATATAAAAGCTTCTACGCGCTAGTTTGCATAAGGACGCCTGTGCTCTCCTACATGATGTTGCTGAAAGGAGCTGGAAGACGGTCAACGCTCCTACGCCTGTTGCACAGCTTCGACTGCTTGTCCTTGGGATTCACGATCTCCTCAGCGGATACAAAAGTGGAATAATCAACTTGGCTGTACAATAGCTATCAACTACGATGTTGATACGCGATGGAACTCTACCTTTGTTATGATTGTCTGAGCCGAAGAGTGTCGCCCTTAGCTCGAAGATACAGTCAACGATGGTCCAGATATCGAAGCCTTACGTCTCATACCCAACGACTGGAGACAGCTCTCGGATATCAAGAAGATCCTGGCTCCCTTTAACGAATATACCTAATATGTCTCTCGGAATAGCTCTTCCAGGAGCTTTCAAGTCGCTGCATCAGACTCCTCGAGGATGTCGATAATGCGGGGATTCAACCTCTCCATGATGTCAGCAAAAGCAATGACGTTACGAGCTTCATCGAAGATCGGAACGCATTTCATCGTGGTACTTCAATATCGGCGCTTTTGAACTATCTCAATAGTGTTGGAGCACAGGAGGGTCGGGTTCTCATCATGACAACTAATCACCTAGACAAACTTGATACTGCTTTGACTCGCCCTGACCGAGTGAATGAGAAGTAGTGCTCACGATAAACGGATAAAAGCAGCATCAGGAGCATATTCATACTGGTCTACAACCCGTTCTCTGCAAGGGAGTGTGATCAACTTCGTGCATTGTGACTCACGAGATAGAGAGTCAGTCAGCTGGCGCAAAGGAACCCCGAAATATCCCGAAATATCTGGGACATCGATCAAGTTTGCGGAATTGGTCAAGCAGGCCGACTCACAGCTGCTGAAATCTAGAGCTATCTCATGGATTTAAAGAAGGAACCCGACATGGCTGTCCAAAAAGCTGCCGAATGGGTCAAAAAAACTGGCGATTTAAGCAGGAGTACTTCATAAGTGCGCACACTGATGTCATCGGCTTGCTTTGACGTAAATGACTGAGATGATTTCACGTATGGCTTTATTCAGTTCACAGCCATTGTCTTTCTTTCCAAGGAAAGAGCAGTACTGTATCCTTCCTTGAGCAGCACGAGACACCGGTCTAGAATTTTGCCTGGGTACCCTATTTCGGTAACAAAGTAGAAAGCATGGGTGGCCCTGACTGATATCTCCATTTTCAGATGGCATTTTCCCTGAGCTAATTGCACATTGTAAATATGTGACCCATTTTTATGCCTGGCTCTGGAGACCTTTCCCCTCTCATAGTCATTGATTAGCTCCGAGTCATTCAGTACTTGGATTTCGATGCTTCATAAATTCTCTTTCGAGGCAAGCGGCCAGCTGACGCAAAGTCAATCGTTCTTTCCCGTGAGCAGCTCAAATGATCTCCTCGAATGATCTTGTCGCGCGGATTGTCCGAACAGCCACTCTCCACATGAGACAGGTTAAGCTCCTCTTTGAATCTTCAAACAGCCCAGTCAAGGCGTGTATTCAATTGATCTCCAGGGCGCGTTATTCCAATCCAATGTGAGGATCCCAGTGACTGTAAAATAATTCAACCAACGATTCTCCCTCGGTCCAGGAATATCATACGTGTCGTTGCAGCGCCTCGAATAGCAAATCAATCCAGCGAGATTTCCACTGAAATTTCCTTCCTGGGCTGCAATAATAGGGTGAGCCGAAAAGAAAGTCTGTTCTTTGGGTAGAATGGTAACATGGACTTGTTTCTCGTTGTATCTAATCCCGAACACAAGTCAAAATACCCACCAGGCTGTGCGGCGGAGGGTTCATGCAGCCAGCCCACTGGATTGAAAATCGATTGCCTGTTGATAAGAAAACCAGGGCTTGGTTGCAATGTTCGATGCAACATCTGGAATATTTAGTTCCTCTGCCACATGCGGTTGAGCTAAACACAATTTTCCCGTGAAGTAACGCACACTCGGAGTTCCTGGACCACCCGGGTTTCTACCTGCTTGTTTTGCATATCATATTTGTGCCGAAATACCTCTGGGAAGGACAGCTCTACTATATTTTTTTTGAAAGTTTCGCTATTATGCTTGAACCTAGATCAACTTCTATTGCTGAGGGTAATCTCTCACTGATATAAATTCTATCTCAAATCAAAGGGCTACCTTTCTTTAAAGAACCTCTTTATTATTAGGACAAGAACAAATCTAATTGTGTTGAAATTGTTGAATTCGTGATTAAAGTTGTTTATTAAGAAACACTCTAGTTCTATCTAATTCTGCTTTTTGGGAGTTATGTTCTATGTTATGGTAGAGCCGTGGTAGACGTTAAATCTAGTCCCCATTTTACAGCACCACATCCTTACGACATTATTTATTTTTGAAAGGTGCAAAAGTCTATCAGAGGTATGTCATAATTAATGTTACAAGCAGCAAGAACAATAGGAGCAGGAATGGTCCATCAACTTTTCACATACGACTACGGTGTTTTGCTATAATATCATTAAGTGCAATTTGTGGAGCGATTCTGTCGCATAAACTTCTATATAGATTGTATATAATAACGTAATCTATTTATATGTCTTGACCAAAGTACGTGCCAGCAGTTGCGTTTCTTGTTCAGATCCTAATTCATCCATGATTTCGTAAATTTTTAATGTTTATATTACATATTGTAGTGGGGAAATCACGAGATTTGTATGATTACTGCCTCAGGCAGTGATGTCCTCGAGGAAAGGGTATGGGTAATCTAAGACTGTAGAGAATGATGGACAGTTACAACAATGCCACTCATTTCCTGATTCAAGATTTATGATCATTATGCTCCTTGATATAGCATCCGATTATCACTGTTAAGACTCATTTGCCTAGAGTCCCTTCCTGACTTGTTGTTGGGTTTTTTTGCCACCATTTGTCGACCCGTCTGTTTTGACCAGACTGCCATCGAGCATCTCCCATTTCAATATATATAACATACGTAAGGTTCGGAGAAGCTTTAAGTAATGAAGGCTGTATCGATCTAACAAAACCATCATAGTACATTGGTATGCTTATGCCGAACTAAAGATAATGTATTTATTGAAAAAAACAACAGGAATAATACATAAACAAGGTCATTCTCTTTTGCAGTTTTCCACCCTCAACGATATCATTACTAACCAAGGGCAAATTCCGGCTGTTTTACAAGAAGCATTTATACTCTTAACTGGTGTTTAACTCGTGTCATAAGTGCAGTCTATCATTTATTTGTTAAGGGGATATTTAATTAAGTACTTCATGAGTCGGGTAAGGTGGACAAAGACAGATTCGGGCGTCCATCCTGTGGCCAAATCAGGCAGTGGAAGCACTGGTGCTGACATTGTGTGTCCTGGATGCCTTCGCCACGAATCACATGAAAGGCAGAGAATTTCGGCTCCGGCAGCCTCACTGCTGTCAAAAAAAAGCTCTCCTGTGTCATCCATATTAGCCCCCCCAGATCCATGGCGTTGGTACGGTATATGAGCTTATTGACCCCTTGGGCGAAACCTTTTGTAGGTTGTTCAATTGGGCTTGCCCTCCTTGCCAGCCCAATATATAGATGGCAGTATCAGCTGACTGGAGCTCCATCAGAAGATCGACTATGTCAGGTGTTGACTTAAATGCCGCTCTTTCTTCCAAACTTAAGTCAACATAATTGAATACTCTCGCGGCACTGAAGATATTGCGATTGCGCCAACCAAGCATCTATAGCTTCACAGAATCAGCCATCAGAAAGGAACACTATCTATCTCGGTGTTTTGCATCAGATTGTTCAGGCCAGTGGAATCTACGCTACTACCTAGGATGTCTTTAATACGATCCAAGGGGGATTCGTCTCGGTCCTCATACAAGCACTCGAAGCATCTACACTCGCGTTTGTTGGTCACAGCTAGGGTCGTTTTCGGGCCTTCAAAGAAGCCAGTTACTCCGACTCACTCTATAGGGAAACTCTACATATGGTATCATGACATATCGTCTTGAAAATAATACTAACAGACGGCTAGGGGCCCTGCGACCTGCTCTCTTGTCTGGTTGAATTGCGATTTTCTTAGAAGTGATTTTTGCCTAGCTTTTTGCGTGAGAGATCAGTGCGTTTACGTTCTATCTAGGTGGTGACCGTCAGACCGATGTATATAGCTCCCTGATAATTGAGTCTTCATTTCAAAAATACAATATTTTAAACTGTTATCAACATCTAGATCTTAAACTCTAATATTATATTGCCTACTTTTGGGGATTTTCGCCTTTCCAAATACTAATAAAGTACAAACAAATGAGTAAGCTGAATGAATATCTATTCGAATAAGAAAGAATTCCTTGTTTTTCATAAGATCATAATTGTAAAAACTAATCGTATTATTAGCTTGTCTAGAATATTACTTTTTTTCATTCTGTAAGAAAGACGGAAAAATATATTCACTTATTAATTATCGATTCCAACTCCTCCTGCCAAAATTTAAATTACAATATTATATTTAAAGCATTTAGTATTATATGAAGAGTAAATTAAGTTTAAAAAAAAGATATTCCGATGCATGAATCCTAATCATTATCTTGAAACTATATTATTTAATAAGATGAAGGGTATCTCCAATTGCTGAAACTCGAATTTTTGTTTCGGGTCAAGCTAAATAATACTTTATTATATAATAAAATGAAGAAGTGGAATATACATCATATATTTATTATTACGCTTATTCACATTATATAAGATAATATAGGGATCTAGGTATATATCTCCTATAATGATGGGGATATGAATATTACCTATACATCTACTGTCTTTATATAAGGAGTGTTAAAGTTCTTGACTCCTTAGCCCTTGAATATCGTTCTAGGTGAGGTAAATCTCCCCATTAATCTAAAGGTTAGAGAAGATTAAATGAGAACGAAAGGAGAAGAAGGGCTAGATATCCTTTTCAAGTACATTTATTTCCAATGAATTTTTATTCTAAAGTTAAGAATAAGTTGCGCTTAGTAAGATCTATAACATAAAGTTTATCATGGTTAAGACAAGAAATAGAGAAATGAAGAATAAAAATAGAGATATATAGAGTTAATAAGAAAGGAACAAGATAGTATAAGTCAAAACTTGTAGAACTCCTATATTGAGTACTTATTTCTACTGAGAACGTTGAACTGAGATAAGCTTAATTAAGCGTAGTAACAAGTACATTTTAAGGAAGGCGTATAGGGGAAGCTAAATAATGTATCAATGAATCAAAGTTCAATTAACCTATTGCTGCCCAAGTAGTATTGTAATGGCTATGCAGGCGGTACTATTTTGTTAGAGCACATATTCGTTCCGAACGCGTGATCAAGCTCAATACAGAAAATAAATTCAAATAATTTATAAGTGACAGTATTAGCTGATAATATTTCTCCATTGAAAATTGTAGCATAATATATAGTATAGATAGTAAAAATTAATCTCTAAATAATTAGTTTTGTTGATCAAATGTCATATTTTATATTACGGTTTACCGTTGGAAGAGTATTTGAAATATTTAAAAAAAGTATCAAAGATAGACAAAGTATATCAACTTACTATAGTAAATACTACCAAGCCTGCTACTTAATTATCTCCAGAAACAAGGAGTAAATTATCATGTTGTATCTGTCTCTATTATAGACACAAGGTTACAAGGATCTGTTCTTGCTCATCATATCTAAAGAAACAATATAAGGAAGGAACTATGTCTTAAGCTCATTTATATAGTTCTCAGTCATAGAATCGTCCAGAGAGGTTTTATAAGCTGGAGGTATCATAAGACTCTAATCCTTCAGGTATTTAGATATCTTTTCTCAAGATAGAGCCTAAGCAATAGAGTACTCTACGTTTTAGTAAAGTGGTAAAATAACGTTCTACCTTAGCTTTATCTACCCTATGACCTCCAAGGGAGAGAAAAGTGACATAAGGGTGAGTGTATATAGATTACATTTACGAATGAATATAAGGCTATTCTATAGCATATCATATCAGTAAGCGCTATAGCTGGAACATTACCCAGAATAGGATAAATTATATTGTGAAAGCTCCATAACTATAGTCCTATGGTATCAAGTTCTAGTAGTGTCTTACAGAGTAGTTGTTTTCTTCTTACGGACAATGATAGCCCTGAGATAATGTTACCAAGTAATGTTCTTAAGTAAGTGGGTAAGATTATAGTATGTCTTGCACTACTATTACTAATTTGAATATTTAACTGTAGAGGAGCATAGTTGTTATCATATTATTATCATACATGATAATTATATCTTGTATTTAGGATGTCATTGTAGGTATATCGTTTAGTCGGCTTTGTGACGTAAGCTCTTGCTAGTTTTTTTTATGACTTTCTTGTCCATAAAAAGATTGTGATAATTATATTATTTCAGGATCTTCAAGATATCCCTAATGAAATTACACAATGTTAAGTATTCTCTAATATGAAGAAACATAAAATTTTGGGGGAAAATGGTGTTCTTCATTTAACCGAACAAATATTGATAGATAACTTAGTGGTAAGGCGATTTATATGAGTAATTTAATATGATTAAAATACTTCTTTATGTGAAATACTTATATATTTGATAGCTCAAGCTTTTGGGAAATATTTCGCCTCTTATAAATGCTATATTACCGGTTTAATTATACTATATATTCAGTACAAGAAAACAGTTATAGACTTCCCAATCTACAAAGTTTCTTAAAGAATCATAAGGAAGTAGTAGCTATGTATTACTTATATTCGCTCTTTGTTTAATTTAGCCTCCTATGATATTCACAGGCTGTGCGGATTTCATGATCCATATCTTAGTCCTTAATATCTATGTCCAGTTCTATTCTAGTGATGAGTAGCAACTAGTCTTAGTTCTACGATATTATAGCTATAGAGTGATACTA